TCTTATAAAAAATTTTAATTTGCTCTAATGGAGACGAAATAGGCCTTTTTTGAAAATCAATTTCGGTGGCATCTATAGTCACGTTCACCCAAGGAAAACTATTTTTTGTACTAGGTTAATAAGTCTTATCAACTAATTGAAATTGTAGAGCTCATTGTGACGAATCTAACAGTAGTTAGATTATTAAAATTAGCACAGTAAATGCCGAGAAATCTGCAAAAATCGATTGACTGACTATATAAAATTTTATATAACCAAATGTTTGTTTATACAGTATTAAATTTTACATAGTTAGCCAATCGTATTTCGAAGATATCTCAGCATCTACTGAGCTGATTTTAATGTTCTAACTACTATTAGATTTGTTATAATGAGCTCTACGACTTTTAATTAATTTATAAAGCTCGTTAACTTAATACAAAAAATAGTTTTCTTTGTGTGAACGTGGCATTTCTGCCATAAGTGATTTACATAGTGATTTGCGTCATGTTATACTATGATCACTTTTCAGGTAACTGGCAGATTATTAATTAAAGAACGTCCTTATCCTGTACCTGGGGTATAGGCATTTTATCCTATACCAGGAGGTACAGACTTTTATCCTATACCGCCTAAATATAATTGGTCCGTTGAACTACAAAAAATTTCAAACTTAGTTTTATCGCCCTTAAATGTATTTTTTACCGTACTGAGGTCATATTTTTGGGTTTGTTAAGTAATTAAACTAATATACTTCACAAGATTATAAAGTGGATATCAAAGATCATATGTATTTTGTTTTTGGGTTGATGCTCTATTAGAAATAAAGATTGAATATGAAACAAATCTGAGGGGAAACTTAGAGCTACACTACAGACTAAGTTCCAAATTACTATAAATTTAGTTTGTCTGCCAAAATCCCTAACTTTGGCCAATGTAGTTTTTGGAGTTGAGGTATCTAAGTTCCTAAGATTAATGGCTAAGTATTGATTTTAGTTTGCTTCTTGCAATTCAATTTTTTTTCTATAACGTTTCTTATATTTTGAGAATTGATAGGATTTTCAGAGATGCGTCTAGGTTTTTGCAAATAAGTAAGGTAATCTAAACAATTATATGTTTAAATCTATAAGTCATGTTTCTACAAGTTGATAATTTTAATTTATCTAATCACTATTAAAAATTGAATTCTTTAGATGAAAACTATCAAATACATATAGATTTTACATATGTTGATATGGTTACAGATTTGGATTAGAAAAATGATACTTTGGGAATGTGGGTGTCAGAAAATTAAGCAACAATGGTTGGTTATAATGGATCTGACTTCGCTTGTTCAATTTTAAATTTTGTACTAGAACGTTCTTTATAGAAGTCTTTTTGTTGATTTTAAAATAGAACCTGATGGCAATTCCAGGCATATAATATTTTATTTTATTTTATTTATCTCGAATTTATTGCCTATTAACTTTAATAAATTGATTCTGGAAAAGTATTTAATATCGTAATTAATAAGTTGATATTTAATTACTTCGTTAATTTACTGATAGTCACTAAATATATTATCTCTTAGAATAATACCTTTATGATTCTAATTTCTGAATATTATCTGCTATATTAATTTATACAATTAGGTTTAAAGATAGTATCTAGTTTAATATATTTAATTTAGAAGTTAGAATAAGATCTTGAATATTATTAGAATAATTACCAAGTTCAAAAAAAATCATTTGATTTCATAAAATAGGGGTTTTATTTTTGAAATATAATACTTTTTTTTAACTAGAATCTCAATATATTTATTAATAAATTTAATATAATGTAATACATTAAAGTTTTTATATCAAGTCTAATGTTTCATTTTGCAATTATTTATTGAAATATTGATTATTTTTAATATTATCATTATCATCATCGTGAATATATAGTCCAAATTCAATATTATTAATCATAATTTTTTTTGCTATATCTAAAGAAATATTATTAAAATCTTCCACAATAAGTCTAATAGCAGTTTCTGGTGTCAAAACTTGAGCCAAGTATTGAGATGACGATTGTGGTGTGCAAAGATTTGTGGTTAATATTTTGGGTTGAACAAACATTTCAGTTAAAGTTTTTAAGATAATAGCTAGACCTTTGGTTCCATAATAGCCGGGCTAAAAATAAAGATTTGAAATTTAAAATATATATTTAAGATTCAATTATAATATTTTTTAATAATAATCTTTTTAACTTACTTGAAATGATTCAAAATAGTTGATTTGTAATAATAAACTATTGACTTTTGATACTCCTATTTCTTGAATTTTTTTAATTGCATCTACATGATATTCGCTATACCATTGACCTTTTATAACTTTTAGCAATTCACATTTCAAGTTTCTAACTCGATTAGGTAGTATTGTAAAATCTATTTGTAATGGATATCCTTTTTCAACCCTATAAGGAATAATAATTCCTTCTCCTTTATGAACTTGACAAAATTCGTATTGTTCAACTGCAGTATGAGCCGATTCTAAGATTAAAAGTATAAATTTAAATTTTTTTTAAATAACTATACAAAATAAATTTTTCAGTTTTATAATATAAACTTTTAAGACTCATGAACAAGATTATAAAACCAAGAAATGGTTTGTATAATCTTAAAATAATACTTAACTTTTTTTTGTTGCAATATCGTTTAAATATTTAGAAACTTTCAAAAGTAATGGACTTGGTAAAGCCTCACTACAATATAGGCATTGCGTATCTTCCCTTTCTAAGTAAATTATAATATTCAAACAAATTTAGATTAAACTTTTAATATATCTTTAAAAAACCTACCTAAATTCAATTCGTCAAAAAAAATATTTGTTTCAATAAAATGGTGATCTAAAAAATCAGGATCTTGAAATTGTGAAGATGTTGTAATAGTATTAGAATCTTGAATTTCATTTAACGGTTCTGTAATATGTTATATGATTAGATTGATAATTATCCAAGTTAATAGAATCTTGTAATCTTAATCTATTAGTATTCTTTTTGTTTTCACAATTTTTTTTTTTTTGTTACTAGTTAATTCTATTGTACTTGTAATTCGTTTATTAGATGGATGCTCTCTTTCTCGAATAATTAATGGATTTTTTATTGTTGGTATAATTTTTGAATTGCTTGATTATAATTTGTTAATTGTTTCAACTTCAGAAATAAATATTTCATTAAAAGAATTATATAAAGTTGTAGCTATTGTAGGATTTTGTATTGCAAATCGTTGCACTTTTTGTAATAATCGAGTTAACATATACTGATAATTTTGATCATCGCTTGGCTCAATACTAGATAATGTTGATTGTGGTGAAGTTGAAGTTGAAGTCGAAAATACAATATAATTATTAATAATTTCTTCTTCACTTGGATCTTTTTTCCATTAGTTATAAAAGAGACTATTTGGAAGCTCTTCTAAATTTAATTGCATTGCAGTTTGAAAAATATGTTGATATATAAATCCAGAAAATTGTGTATATTTGCATGAATATATAAAATAATTAGAACTAGCATTATATTTTACAATTCTTTCGCTTACTTCGGTTTCATATCTTTGAACTTTAAAAACGGACTTAATGCTATTTATTTATAATAAAAATTATTTATAAGTAACTTTAAATAACAAAATAATATAAGAATACTCTAAATTGTATTACCTTGCAATTTCTTCACATTTATACATAAAAGATTGCATTAATTGCTCTTGAGTTTTTTTAAAAGCATAAGTAGTTAAAATAGAAGCAACTTGATATTCAAATATACTTGTAGTTTTATAGATAATATTAAAATTGTTTTGTTGGTATATTCGAAATTCTGTTTTTTCATTTTGTGTATCTAGTGCTGATTGAAATGCAGTTATAAACATAGTAAGAGAAGTATTTGCATCTAAATAACCTTTTATCATATTATTCATAGATTCTCCGTGTTGTGTAGTTGTTATATCTGCCATAAATGTATCACTATTAAAACCTGCAGCTCATTTTTCTTTTGTTTTTTCCATAAAAGATAAATAGGTTACTGCTAATGGATATGATGTTTTAAGTATATTCCATTGAGAAAGAAAGCTTGAAATGTCTATTTCTCCAAGACATTTGTACAAATCTCTAATAAATGCTGACCAGTTTGTATTAAACTTTGCACTTAAATTTTCCATTATGCTCTTCATTAAGTGCTATTGACATAACCGATGTTTTGTACCTAATAGTTGTAAAACCTTAGAATAAGCATTTGATATTGTATGATTATCATCAGTAAGAATAACTGCAGGTGCATGTTGATTAACTATTTCAAGAAATTTAATAAAAATTCATAAAAAATTTTCTTCTGTTTCATTAATCATTAATGCTCCAGCAAAACATATACTATATCTATAATTATTCACTCCAGTGAAAATACCAAATGCATTTTAAAACGATTTGTTTTGTAAGTATTATTATAAACAACTATATCATTAAATCTACTATAATTAATACGTTGCTCAGAAAACATCTATATCGCTCGCTCTAATCTTTTGGTATCTTCATTAATATCAACATAATAAGAAAATTCAGCATCATCATACTTAAATTGATTTAATATTTTTACAAACTCTTCAGCATCTAATTCTCTTTTTTCTAAACCAGATCCTTCTAAATAGTAAATAAAATTATAAATATCATCGTACATCCATGTAACATGATTACCAAACTTTCTTTTAATATTGCATGTATAGTTGGAACATCTACACTAGCTTGACATAATAATTCTATTCGCTGTTTGATATCATCAGGAATATTTCGTTCATTTGACATAAAAAATCTATGATTTTCTTCAACCATTAAATGATTATGAGTAAGGTTCATATTAATAATTTGCCACAAGTTATTTAAGTTGTTTAAAGAAGCACGAATATAAAAAAAACAGCTACAGCATTGAGATACTCGATTTCGTTCTTTTTTTGAAGTTTTTTCATTATTAGAGTTATATTCTTTCAATTCAGCAAAACTGGCTCGAGAATATAGTAATGTTCTTTTTCGAATAGTTTTTTCTGATTCTTTATTTTCAGATTTTTTATAATATTTAGATTTTCTAAGCCTAATAGTAAAACCACAATTACGTGTATAGTTTTTAACTTTATCAACAAATTCAATATGACTTTCAAATGTGTCATTAATTTGTGGTTTATAAGACAAAGTTGCTAAGCTTTTATTAGATATTAATAAAATATACATGTCTAAAAGTGGATTTTGTAACAATAACATAAGTTATATATATATATATAGAGTATAGATTAAATAATTTGTACCCCTTAGGTATAGAATAAAATGTCTATACCCTCTAGGTATAAGATAAACTATCTATACCCCCAGTACAGGTTAAGTTTTCTCTTGTATATATAGCTTGATATACTATTATTGTAATTGTATATAAAATATTGTCTACTATATACTCTAATAAAAAGTTCTTAGATAGAGGTGTGGCGGCTTAGTGAAGTGGTCAAGTCGTCACCCTCTCCAAGTAGCAGGTCTAGGGTTCAAATCCCACG